ATACTTTATACCAATTGGTATAAAGTATATTTGACACAAAACCAAAATATTTCTATAGTAATTTTTTATTAAAATTGAATTTTTTAAAAATTATTTTCCATTTTGTTTTTTTTGCAATATCATACTATTAGCCGTTTATTCATTACATTATAAATTGTACTCTTGGTGTATTGGACACTTGTGAAAATGCTGTGTAATTTTACGAATAATTTATTATTCAAAGAATAACAAATTAAAGAAGCACAAGCATTTTAAGAACGCACTAATCGAGTTTTGCCACTGCCGGTCTTAAAACACGGAAGGAATGAATTTCTGGCGAAACAGCGAACGGTAAGAAAAATAATAAATTAAAGACTTCTGAAAGGGTTAACAAGACAGGATAAAATTGCAAACGTGTTTCGATTACATTAGTACAGTCTATTTTGTGTTTGTAAACACGAGTTACATGACTGCAGGGAAAACAAAGTCTATCTCAACTTTTTGGTTGAAAACTGTAATGAACTTTTCGAGTACGGAAAACTCAGACCTGAGATATATTTTAACAATCGATAGTAAAATTGATATTTTAATAGCAGTTTTATGTAGATATTATAATAACAGTTAATATTTGAATGTAGTTCTAATAATAATTTTTTTCTTCCAAAATGAAAAACTTAAATAAATAAAAAAATGTTTAAAAGTCAACTTAGTATTTTCTTAGAGAAAATTGTCCACTAATAGTTAATATTAGATAGGTAAATAATAATCGTGTTAAAACAATGTATAATTGGTTTTTTTAAATTGAGTTTGTATTCAGCCATTAACGTACCCATTAATTCTATTTGACCTTACGCATACATTTTACAAGAGATTGCTTAACAAGACATTTGCTTAACATTGTTTGTGTTGACAATGGCATTTTGACAGCTTTGAGAAGGGATCACATAAAAAATATATACAAAATGTAATAGCATATTAATTGTCAATATTTACTCAGCAGACAGTATAGTATAGTTTGCGGTTTTCGTAAACTTCCTTTAACCTTCGATTAAAAAATAAATAAATTAGACAATTATAATAATATTATTATTACTAAATAAATAAATAAATAATTAGTTATCTAATGTTGGTCCTTCTACACAAGTTTTTGAAATTATCTGAATTCAAACCGTTAAATGCGTTATTGATTACAATTTCATTATGATACTTCGTTAAAAACGTCTCTAAATTTTTCCATAAAAATTAAGGTTTTGTTTTGACACTTGTTTTTTTTTTGTACTGTAAAACGTGTTTGATGTCGGTGCAATGATTTCTTCCATATATGTCTAACATAATAAAATAAATTCGTTTATTGAGTATTTGTTTATTTTTACTAATGTGTTTTAATGCTAAGAGATAGCTGGTACATCTGTTTCTGTTGTTCAGTGCTTCTATTTTTCTGTCCATGTGCGTTGTCATTCTTAGATATTTCGCGAGTGTTTTTAAGACAGTTAAAGGAGTTGATGTTTAAGTACAATAGTGGTCATGTTTTTGGGTGGAGTGCGTAAGTATAATATATTGATTTAAACTTCCGCGTTTACTTAAACATTTCTTTTGTAAAACCCATAATAATAAGGAAGTTCTAATAGTGGTTCTTGCGTGGCTGTATAAGAATTCAAGTGATAAATTGGAAGACGAAGAAGAAAGCAAAGCAAAAAGTAAAATAATATACACCTAGTTTTTGATTTGTCTTACAGCCACTGTTATGTTAAGAGTTGCACTTTGATCAATAAATAGATGTTGAACAAATAATTTATACTTACTATTTAGTAGGTAAACTAATTAATTATTTGAACAATTAATTTACACATATTAATTAGTTTATAATAATTATTAGTGAGCGCTAGAAAGCAAAGCGCCGTTTCTTGGAGTATCATTTCCTTTATGAATTTTAAAGATACTTTTATAGTGCTATAAGCGATGATTTTTTACACATTTGGTTGACTCGGATTTTTATGTGTGACTAAACAAAAAGTATGAGGATAACGATCCCAAATCACTTTCCACCCTGACAAAGTCACTGCTCGAATGCTAAACCGGAATTTGTGTCGACAGGCGACAGCAACATATAAGCCGCTCACGCAGACCTAATTATCCGACCAACCGGTTTTTAAAAATTAATTGCACGATATTAGCGATACGGCAAATGCTAGACAAAATTATCTCAGATGATTTTTTTTTCTATTTCTCTCTGTTAACATTACACAAATAGGTATGAAAAATATCATCATGATTTGGATCATGCTCCGGCCATTCCACCGTCGGCCGGTGTTCATGTTAATTTTTGTTTCCATTATCAGCTGTTTCTTATCACTAGACTTTATTCACTGATATCTTATCATGTTTATTATCAGGAGCCATTATCAGCTGTCGCTTACGAAAGAAACAAATTAATGAATTAAAACCTCTTTTATTTTTTATTCGATTTTCCTAATCCTTTACCTAGCAAGAACTAAATTTTCAACACTAAAAATAGTTTAACTTATATCGTCGAAGGTATAATGTTGAGTTAAGTTAGGTATGTTAAGTATGTTGAGATAAGAACTAGGTTTTAAATTGGTATTAATAATTAAATATTATTAATTTTTACCATTAATATCCATTTATTTAATATTAAGCTATGGGTAAAAAATGTAACAACCGATGAACACATTATTTATTTAAAAAGAAAATGTTTGATATAGACTAATATCACCTTACTAGTGTTAATGGTGTTTTTGCATTAAATTTGAGGATTGGTTAAACTGGTACATACAACGTTTATTTTACTAAATGGCCACAATATATAGGCAACGCTAGTGACCATAACAGCCGGTAAATATTAAATGTATAAAGCCAACACTATAAATTTGTAATAATATCCGTTTTTGTATTTATTTACTGTAATGTTTTCTCATTCTAGCTTTTACGATGATAATATACGCTAACCATAAAACCATAATTATTATGAATTGTTTAGCAAGAGAGGACACGAGTTTAAATTACAACACCCAAAAATATTTTATTGTTCATATTAACAACATAAAAGCTAAGATGAAAATATGGCTTGTAAAATTATGGCTTCTCAAAAACTGTAGCTGTTGGACTATTTACCGCAAAGGCTGTTGTTTTTGTCATTAGCTATAAAAACTAAAGATAAAATTAAAACACATAATGCTATGAAATTATCACTTAAGTCTCAATGCATTGGTGATAAGTGATAACATAATATTACTCATATGAAAAATTAAATGGTACGTATCCAGGCAACAAAAATAACGAAATTTACACTTTTTTTTTTAAAACCCTGTTACTTAAATAAATAGGATTAGCGAATTTGTACGTATGGACGTTTTAATACATATAAAACGTTTAAAAATAGTTTTAGGTTTGTAGTTAAGCAATGTATCAGACATATTATGTATTTACAAACAATTGTCAAAATCTTCCGGGAAACATGTTTTTGCCTAAATATTAAAAAAAATATTTCTAACTATTTAAAAATATTAATAGAATACATGAAAATAAGTTTTACACATAAATTATGATAAAACTGCAATACAAATGTTTACCTCCGGCTACAATGTAATAAAGCTAACTTCATTATACATAGTGTATTACAATAATTACATAATTACGTACATTTTGTTTTAAGGATGTATTTAAAATTATGTAATTTTGTAACACTTATAAATATTATGTAATATGGAAAACAAATTCTTTGAAAAAGATATAATATATAACTTAGTTATAGTCAAGTTACCACTTGCGAATTAGTTAAAAATGATTTTGGTATACTATAAAAATGTGTTACTATTATTGAATTATATTCATTAGCTGTATAATAATTTTATATTTATTATTAGAGTAGAAAACATATAAAAATATCCTTAGTTAGTCGTTTTTGTATCAAGAATAAGGTTTTCTTTAAATACAAATGCTCGTAAAATTATTAAATTACTCTAACATCGCCAATGCTTTCAAGCCCTAATAAAAACGTAACGTTTATTTCGAGTGGATGGTAAACAGCATGGCAACTTGAAATGCTATTTAATGTACTCTAAACAACTACAGAAATGCTTTCTTATAACACTACTGTCTTATTACCGCAATCGGGTTTTACACCGCCACTGTAGAATTTAAATTGTATGGTGTGAAGTTTAAAAATACTTTGAAAATATTAAAATATAATCAAATAATCAGTAATAGCGTTGCTTAACGGGTCAATAGAAAATAATAGTATAATTACAAAATTGTTTAAATTGAAAAATGAACATATATATTTTGATGTACACTACAGTCTATTAAACGCCCATGGGTTAACAAATAACAAATCTGTTAAGTCATTATTTGATCAGTGTAAAAATTATTGTTTAAATCATACTTTGTAAATATTTTAATATTAATATCACAAAATCAACGTAAACGCTTTTGAGTAGCTTAACTTATAAGTCCTACGTACAAGAAGCAAATGGGTGTTATAACTTTTGTAAGCTGTAAAAATATGAACGTAAAAGTTGCCTTCTTCTAAATTAATACAAAAACCTAATTATACGTCTGTTATAATAACATAGCGTTTGCCATATAACCGACTATTATTATTATTAATGAAAAAAAAAAGGTTTTAATTTGTGAATATAATCACTAGCTGCAGCACTGTTTGTACGTTATGTATTCATCGCTTAACATTGTTCGTGTTGTCATTTGCGGATGAATGTAGCTAATTTGAAGTCGTATAATCATATCCATATATACGAAGCCGAATTAAGTTGATTATAATGTTAATTATGTACATAAACCGTATTAATTGCATAGTAGTAGTATCCTGTGATTAAAGGCAAACAATTTTTCCTGGAGTGTAATATTTGTTTTGTGTACTTGTATGCGTTTTGTCCGAGTAGTAAATAATTTATGGCTACGGCCCGATCGGAAGGTTATTCATAATAATTATAGTCTATCACTTTATTTTAAATACCACAACACACAATGCGAATGCTGTTAATATTACTCTGTCTTTCGTTGTATGCCAACAGTGTCAATACAAAGCATCGCAACACCAAACTGAACGTAAAATGGAGCATTTTTACAAGTTCTTAATTGTCCTATCGACGCTGTATCTCGTTACTGAATCATTGGTGAGTTAAATGATATAATTATTATCGAAGAACGTGGGGAATTATAGTGTTTATTCAAAATATACTATAATGTGCGATTATTACACGAATAGTTGAAAAATATAGTTATGGTTTTTTTTTTAATAATTCAAATTTAGGCTGATGACAATGTTGAAGCGATGAAAAAGGCTTTGTTCGATGTGTGCTCCAATAAGTATCCGATAAGCGACGGTAAGTTTTCAACTAAAATATCTAGTACTCAATCGCGATAAAATAATCTATAAAGTTTACAATTATTTCAATTCAATTTTACAGCTATTAAAAATGACGCAAAAAAAGGAATATTGTCTGAAGATCGAAATTTCAAAGTAAGTTAAAATTTTTAATATTTTTATAGCTATAATATTTTCATAAATAGCGAACTATCACCAAACATTTTCAGTCAAATTATTATAATAAAAATAATCCTATTTAATCCGGGTTTATGGAATCCCGTGTACGAAAAGTTATATTATAATATATTAAGCGATTTAGATATAATAAAGTTATACATAGTTTTTTCATTAGTTAATAGATGAATGCAATTCGAATGAATGCTTTACTAATACATATAGTCAAACCAAAATTAATTTATGCATAGATTAAAATGAATAACTGATTTACTTAACTGCGCCTCTAGTTTATCAAATAAAATATTATAACAAATTATTTTTTAATTCGGGAATATTTGAGAAGATCTGCTTGATTGTGATGGGGTTGAATATTCTTTTTGATCACTGAACCGATTTTTAAATAATATAATAATGAAATACCTACATTAATACGAATCATTGATAGTGTTAAAACATATTTGCATTTATTGTAATAAACTATATACTATTATTTGATTTGTTAACTATTATCTTAATGTATTTAGTTAATAAATTTTAATTATTATCTGAAGTCCAATGGCATAAATATTAATATTAAGAGGGCGTCGTACCGGTGAATTTCAGTGGTAAAAACATGTTTAAGCAGACTGAAAATAACTTGCTTAACTTTGGTTTTAGAGTAAAAGCATCCATTATAAAATTAATAGAAAACAATATTTCAGAGGACAAAATGGTGCGTTTTTAAAAAAAACCCCCATTTTTTGAAAAGTTACTGTCATTTAAAAATGTTAAAATAGTCATTATTTCTAAACTATGTATTGAGCGTTAAACTTGGAATAATGAAAAAAACGCACCGTCTTTCCCTTCGGAATATTGTTTTCTTTTAATTTTATAATGAGTGCTTTTATTCTAAAACCAAAATCAAGCGAGTTATTTTCAGTCTGCTTAAACAAGTAGAGATGAAAAAACATTTTTTTAATCGCTTTCAAGGATGCTGTGATAGACCAAAAATAAATTAACTACCAAAATAGAGTTCTAGTTATTGAACTAATAATTAAACATCACAGTTTAACCTTTAAATTAAGATTTTTGTAAAAAATTGCCTATACTTTACTCCTTAAAAATAGGTGGTGCGACGCCCTCTTAAGCTCAAAATTTAGGTGGCGTGTAACAAAATTATCTGATTTTTAAGTTAAGATTGTTTGAATTATTTTGGAAAACTATAATTCTCGAGGTAAAAAATGTAAACGCTAAAATTGGATATCTGAAATAAATATTATTTCTTTATACAGTTAGTTTATATTCATCGTTATTAATTTTGGATATGTGATGCGGAAAGCGAACGAGACATTTTAACGCATTTATTGCGAAGTTATTGCACTTAGAGCTTAACCGACGTTTTAAAGTTTTTCTCGAAATCAACTTTGCAAACAAAGGGCCCTTTTTGGTTTTCCGCATCACACATTACGCTTTACTTTTGAATACCCGTTGAAAATATTTTACTACCAATAAAACGATACTGAATTGTTTGTTTTTTCGAAGACAGATAAATAAAGAACTTTTAAATATCTTAGTGTAAACACACAACCTTAAACTATTTCAAATTACACTGAAAAAACTAAATAGTTGGGACAACCATAATTTATGGTTAATATAGGGACACAATAAATGTTAAGTTGGGAGTATTAAACTGAAATAGTTAATTATATATAGCTGGATCAACTATATAATAAGTTTGGATTTACAATATTGGATTTTAAAAATATACACAACTTATGAAAAAAATGCAAAAAGTATTAGTGTGTTAGTATATGTCCTCTTGGGCATCAAACCCGCGACTACCTAAACGCCTATTATTCTTAAGCCCAACGCCTAAACCTACCTACCCTGTCTAGTTGCTACTGTTGTACGGGATTTACTACCCAAAAACCAATAAACTAGTTTGGAATTTCTAACTATAGTAATGTAGTTGGTGCAACCATTTTATAGTAGATCCAACTAGAATATTTCTGACCATTTACTAAAACCAAATTATTATTTTCCGAGTAATAACATTTGTTTCTGAAGGAATAAATATATATATGTATATATAGACATATTTTTTAAATATTTATTGTGTTCCACGAGTAATACCTAATTTGAATATTTCCTAGAAAAACTTAAATTTTTAATAGTTTTTATTTATTTCAAATAATTGGTGCACGTAGTAAAATAAAGTAACTCATAATTGTATTTTAATTTTTTAGTGTTTCATGATGTGTAGCTTGGATGAACTATCATTAGTAAGTTGATTTTACAAATTGCATACTTAAGTATTCATTCGAAACTTTGTATGTAAACAACGAATTTAACGTATATTTTATGCATTAGATTAATCCAGAAACAGCTGAAATTGATGGAGAAACAATGATATCTATGATGCCAAATGAAGAAGTACAAAAACATATAAAACCAATCATCGATCAATGTTTACCAAATATAGGTACAAACATTATTGTATACATAACCATTGTATCAAATTTAATATTTTTTACCTTTTTTATCAAATAATTTTAATGAAAAGCCTATTTAATTTAAATAATGATTGACACGATTTAAACAAAATACATTTAAAAATATAGAAATAATAAAAATTGTTATAAACCTTATGTATTTTCCAGTTTATAACAATTTATTAAACTAAATAATTTATAAACATTACTTATATAATATGATACTTTTTATTTTAGCTGGAAAACCTGATGCTTGTGAAGTGGCATATAACTTTGTTAAATGTGGTTTAACAATCAACCCAAGTGCGGTAAGTTTTTTAAATTCCTAACTACGTTGTAGTAAAACTTAGAGTTTCAATTTGACTCCGGTTAAGTCATGTATGTGTATGTTAAAACTCTCTTGATTTATATGATTATGAGTTAGAACCAACCCCAATAAAACATGTTTAAGGATTAATTTATTTTTTAAATAGCGGTTGGCATACACTAGTACTGTATATTTAATGTAATATAGGGTGAAGGAAGGTATTTTCGTGGCATAAGCAATTTCGTGATATAGTTTGTTGATCGTATCGCGTAATTCCCTATTAGAAAATTGGCTTGAAAATCACACTGATTGTTAAAATACTGTGTTTTAAGATTTAGTGTGATTTTCAAGACAATTTTCTAATAGGGAATTACGCGATACGATCAACAAACTATATCACGAAATTACTTATGCCACGAAAATACCTTCCTTCACCCTACTTAATAAAGTTAACCTAAATCAAATTTTATTCTAAATGCATGTGCTCGCCACATTTGTATGGACTCTCTAAACAACATACTGTACATGTATTCAAATGCTATTTGTTCTGTAAAAATATGAACGTATAAATCACAAACATTTCAACATTTTTAAAAATAAATAAATAATTAAAACCAATTATTAGGATTACTGTGCGGATTCTGAGCCACTAAATTATTCAGTAAATCAATTAAATTAAAAACCTTTACAGTGTATATCAGTATTTACCTATATTATTACACTTATTACTGTATTTCAATTAGTATTAACAAAACTAATTGAATATTCTATCCTATTCTTAATGTTTAATCCTAAACTAGACAAATATTTAAAACAATTTTTAATAAAAAAAAATATATAAATGGTTTTGTTTTGTTTGTTGCAGACAATGATTTTGCCGTTTTAATCGATTTTCGGAAGTGAAAAATATTCAATATATTTCATTAGTTTTATTGTGTATAAACATAATTGTTACAAAATCTATACTTGACTTCACATAAAAAAAAATTGTTGTATCAAATTTTTCACAGGGTCATAAACGAAAATTGTGTTTTTAACAGTACCGCTTACTGATTAAATAAATAGTTTAATGCACTAATGGTATTGTATCTTGTTATTTATGTCAATAATTTGTTTAAACTTAAACACTTTTTTGTGAACACATTTATTGGAAAAATGTTAGTTATTAGTAATTGTTGATAAATAAAAATTAATTTGTGGTTAAATTTATTTGATGAATACAATTAATAATAATAACAAATATAGTGGTAAAAAGTCAAAATCAATAAATTCAAAATTCCAAAACGCCTAACCGTATATTTATGATGCGTACATAATGAGTTAATTGAAATTAAAGTGTTGTGACATCTACAATAGTTTTAAAAAAATTGCTAAAATTCCAAAAAAAAATATTTTTTAAAATAACTAATGGTACTTTCATAAAATATTTCATTTAAATAAAAAAAAAAATGTATATTATTTTGTTTTAAATATAGTAGTTATTACATCAGTTACCTGCTTAAGTAAAAATTGTTATAGAAATGATTCATAATAAAAATTACTATAATGCACGTATAATAACTTAATTTTAATTATATTTTAACCAGAAAAACCAAATCATTCAGCGAAATTTTATAGTATTTATTGTATTCAAAAACTTTATAGTTTTATTGTATAACATTGTCATACAATATAATATTCATTTTTATATTAATTTATATTATTGTGTAATGACTAAACTTCAAATAACAATTTAAATATGAATCAAATAGAAACGAAAATGAATTTTACCAATACATATTTCATGGTTTCTATGTAAATGATGCTTTGTAAAAAATGGTTGCAAGCTTGCAGAAAATATCTAAAAACAAAAACAACAATTAAAATACCTAGGTAGTTACTGTGCAACTCTGTGTAGTAATTAAAATACCCTAATATCCTAATGAATACTACTAAAGTAAAGTTTTTGTAATTTAAAATTGTATTTTTAACAATTTTAATGTAAAAATTTATCACGTCGTTAATAAACTGTTATAATTAGACAAAAAAAAATAATACATTTAATTCTTAATTTTTATTGTTTCAGTATACCTACCATATCGACAATAGCCTAATCAAATGTTATTCATGTATTATTTAGTTTCATGTAATACATTTTAAAATTTATATTTTATTTTTATGAAAAAACAAATTTAATAAAATCGAACGGTTTGTAACGCATTTTTTTCTAATAATTATACAACGCAGTACGCACGAGTTGATTGTTTATGTATACAGTATTCCTAATATTTTTATAATTTGTTTTTTATTTATATAAGTTATAAGACCAATATATTGGTTTGTTGCACACTATTCGGATATATCCTTTCCATTATTCAAAGGAAATACATAATTACAAAGCCGCGATACCTATAAATAAGATATCAGCATTTATGAGAAATCCAATTTAAAAAAAAAGACAAAAAACTGAATCTACAATGACAGTTGGTTTATTTTTCTAAAAATCACTTTGAATAATAAACAGAATAAAAACAGAAAATATAAAGGTAAAGTAGTACTAGGCTTTACATTACATATATATCGGTAGGCCAATAGTAAATATTTAATTAGTATTTAGTTAATTTTTGTTTTTGTATTCCAATTTATATTTTAATTTTAATTTGATAAGTACATCTGTTATCCTTCTGAATGGAGAAAAACCAAAAAATGTACACCTTTTTTAAGTTAAAATTACGGTGCTCAAAATCTATTTAAAAAATAGTCCAGTTAATTCCAAATTTGTAAAGAATATTCTTAAGACATAATACTACCGATAAACCCAAACAAATGTCATATTTCCTTTCACCTACAAGGAATAGATATTTTTATTTAGTTTTAGAGATTTAGGTCTGAAAATTAGAACGAAAGTTCAAGAATCAAATTATAACATAAATAACTTCTCAAAAAAACTTTTTTTTAATAAATTATTATATATGAAATAATATTAAAATTTGGTCTTTGTAGGCAAGCAAGTACTTAAATTAAAATAATCTAAAAAAAAGCTGTTACATAATAAAAATAGAACAAACTACCTTTTTATTAATAATTAATATGTATAAAAAAGTAATAATGATGTTAAATGCGCGCTGTGCATTGTTTCATAATTAATATTAACTGTTGTCAAGTTAATTAACAAATCTAGAATATCGTATTATAAATATTTTACTAAAAAAAAATTTTAAGACATTCTAAATTTAACAGTTTTATCAGTTTACTATAAAGCGCTCGTAATTTTTCTCAGTTGTTTGATAAGTTTTTAACTTTTTAGTTACATAGCCATTATTTTGATTATTGATCATATTTTCTAAGAGAACTAATGAAAACATAGAAAAAAATAAATATATTTTTCAGAATTCGGCGAAGTCCAATTATTTAAATTGAGACGCCATCTGTTTCGTTAGTTTCCTCTGTTTGTGTCTCGGAAATCGTTTTATTTTAATTAAAATACACACTTTTACTATAAACGTTGTGTTCGGTACAATACATCCCGGTAAGAAAAGTACAAAAAAACCCACCTTAGTATTTCTTGTTTTTGTTTGTACAATTTGATGATGACTATTATTTTAATATATGCATGAAATAAAGAAACTCAGAAATCAGATTATATATATTATAATACTATAAATGGGCAAAAACAACAAATACAAATTAATTTTTGGAGCACCCCCGCGGAACTTTTTGAAACTTACCCTGTATGCCAGTTACAATAAAAAGAATATTTTTTAAATTTGTTATGGATTTTTTGTTCGATTTATTTGGCAAAGTCATATAAAGTATTTTTAGTTTTTTTCTTATTTTTTTTTTGTAGTAATTTCCACCAACAAAAACGTTTATTAAAAATCAGCTTCTTATGTAAAATAGTCTAAGCTTCCTAAAAAAAAAATATAAATTATTTTATAATCTAGAAAATTGGCGTTTTGAGTTGCCCAACATTTGAGAATTTGTTTAATATTTTTTTCAAAAAGCTGAGACAAATTCCCATAAAATGTTCAAATTTCAAACTTAGTTCTCTATAAAAAAACACCAGAAATAAGGACCACAGTAATCGAAATAGTTGTAATAATCATGTATAAAAATAAGATGATTTTTTTCGACTTTTCAATGAATTTTCTTTAAAAATTTGTGGTCAAACTTTTTTTTATTAAGAAAAACCTACCCAATAAAGGGGAAAATACATTATGCGAGTGAATCAACAGTCAATAGGTATCTGAAAAATATGTACATTATAACGTGCTAATGGCGATATAATATTATATTAAATCAATTTTTAGCACATTTTCGCTTGTAAAAATGTATTTATCGATATTTAATATTTCTACCATCCACAGCTGATGCACATCGAAGGAAGGGTTTATTTGTAAGTGATTTTATCACTTACAGTTCCAATAATTTCTGAAAACCTGTGACGCCATCCTCGTTCCAAGTATGGTCCTTCACAGTGCTTATGCCTCGACCCCGCAGCTTTTTATTTATACTATATTATTATCATAATATCTCGACGGTAAACGGACCTAAATATTATGATAAAAAACTGATCGCACCGAATAGTGTTGACGCGTTACACAAACACGTTGGACCCTCGGTAAATTATCTGTCAATATTATATATAATAATATGAAATGGCGGCCATACTATATTACATGAAACGGACCTTTGGCCGTGGAATAAACGACCAGTGATATTTAATATCTAATGCCCTATAAATAAAATTGCACCAAGTCGTTATTTGGAGCTCCCCACACACAGTGCGCGCGTGCGTGACTCCGTGTGGTATTTGGTCGTGAAATATTATGGAAACGTGATAAACAGGGATGATCCTTTTAAATGTTTATTGCTGCCGTGTATGGTCGCATGCAAATGTGACAAAAAAAATTTTTTTTTAAAAGGTAAATAATCGCCGAATCGAGAAACAGCTGAATCGTTTTGTCGACTTACTCGTATTTTCAAATTACTTTTTCTGTGATTTATTTTGTAGGTAATATTAAACGGTTTTTTGTCGTGCATCATATAAATATCGGAATATACAATATCACACACACCGATCTATACTACTCTGTCACTAGTTCTATATTAAAAAACAAAGGTCACTAGTATACGATTAGATAAACATATTTTGTCAAATGAATAAATGACAAAAACAAAGCTACGGGAGTTCTTATAAAATATGAAAGTGATAAAATCACTTTTTAATAACCACTTCGATGCCAATCTGTGGATAGTAGGTTTCAACCAGTACAGTTCAAGGCAAGCATAGTAAAAAAGTAGTAGTAGTAGTGAGTGAGTAAGGGAGGTTCTGTGTTCTCAGATAAAAATTAAAATATCGATAAAATCGTTGTACTTGTAGTTATGTGCTTAAAAATTCAGTTTTAGTATTATGGTGGACACGATTAAGGTCAATCGTCTTGAAAAATATATTGTCATAGATACATACATTGTACTTAACAGTATGACAACATTTTCATTCCTTATTGGCTGTTGATTCACTCATACACAGCAACCTGACAATTGACTACGGTCAAAGTGTAAATTTCCCTTTTTTCGGGTTTTCTTTAATAAAAAAAAGGTTTGACCACATGTTTTTGAGAAAATTATATAGATTATAGTTCCATTCTAGATCTACCTTTGGTCTAAATTTCAGACCTAAATCCATAAAATTTTGTTGAAGAGTTGAACAAAGAAAACATTTACACTATTTACATGACTTGAGGTTACTCTAACTTGGATATCTTGGAAACGAAAATCAGTCATGCGGCAGCCGGCTAAGGCGAAGGGGCGTGGCCGTAGAAAACAGCTGGCAGCAGCAAGAAGAAGCGGAGAATGCGGTGGGGGGTATGGTATATAACCTACTCCCACGGAAGCGAATCGGTCAGTCTGCAGGAGAGCACGGTACGAGCAACATCGAACCACAGCCCTGAAGATGGAACGTGCAAGTGTTCCGAAACGTTGGTGAACTAGTCAAGACATCCAATTAGGAGTAACCTCAAGTCATGTAAATAGTGTGAATATAATACCCCACTCAAGCTTCAATATTTTTTTAAAGAAAACAATTCTATCTTTTTTATGGGAAAAGGTTTATTATATTTTTTTGGTTTGACAATGTTGATCCGTAGTACTGTGTTTAACAAATATTCCATACACATTTGGATTTAATTGAACTATTTTTAAAAAAGTTATAAAGCGCCGTAATTTCATGTTTAAAAATACGTATAGATGTTTGGCGCTTTTCTCAGTTTTGAAGGGGAAGAGGTGACTTTTTTTAATTTTTAGCCTCTCAGGTATAATTTTTGATTTATAGAGTTGCTACACGAAGAATTAAAATTAAAAACACAATATTGAAAATACAACTAATTCTCAACTCCGCATCGAAGCTAAAATACGAATTTATAGATAGGCGAACCGTGGTTGGTGCACTAAATTTCACCGAATCACTACATTTATATAAATAAAAATTAATATGTTAAAGACTATTAATTTGATCACTGCAAACTCATAATAATACCTAAAAAATACAAACTATTTATCCGACATATTTAAAACCTAAAATGTACTCCATAAACCCGATCTACAACATTTTTAAGTCAAGGCGTGTACCAACTGGGATGCTACATTATCCTTCACGAGCAAGTTAACCTTATGCTGTATAAATTTGTTTAAATTAGTCTACTGTTAGCGTATGGAATTAATTTTACTTTAAATGATATGGCGTACCTCGCCATTCTTTATTATAGGCAACGGCAATAATAGTATTTTAACAGTTGGTACATTTTTATAAAAAAAAAACTAATTACCAAATTACACTGACCAATAGTGGCCAAAACACAAAATTCGCATTATTACATCTACTGAAAATCAAATCGACGACAAATAAAAGCTGGTGATTGAAAAACAAGACGGATCGTACTTAAGATTATCTTATTAGTTATTACCAAACAGCTATTGTATCAATAGAAATATTAGAAACCATATGCTAATATGGCAAGTTTAGGAATCAAAAAGTTGAAAAAAAATTCACAATACCCTTCTTAATTAGAAAAAATGCCAACAGGTTATTTTGATACATTCGTTTCAGTATCAATATTATAACAATATATCACTTTGGTTTTGTGCAAAAAAACATTAAAAATAATGATAACTGGTAAGTGTAAACATTTTCTTATATTTGCTACCAAGTAAATATAAGACAGTGTACTAGTGTTACATAACACTTAGATTATAAAGCAGTTTTCAGTAGATATCCTTAAATTTTCTGGCGATACAAGTTTTTGATTACTAAGCAAATCTTCATGAGTGAATATTATTAAAACGTCAGTGTATGCTATATTGTTTAACTAGTGTACCCTTATCATGCTCGCATACAATATACCTCTAACTTTAATTTAACCTGTTAAAAGTTCTTAATGCGAGAGAACTTATTTTGCTCTATGTTATTATCATGTACACCCGGGTATTATATATTTTCTAGAACAATGGCATAGTGAACAATGAGACAAAATTCAAATAAAAATCATACTAATAACTTTGCCGCTTCCTATTTACATTTTAGTGTGACAGTTACGATTATCATCATAAGCATAACAGTATATTTTGTAAGTACATAAGCTCAACATTTTCCTGTATATAATATAATGTGCCAAGATAAATATTATGGTAAAGAAGTAAATGTACACAATAAGCGGAAGAACAATAATTATAACAACTTTATCCGGTGGCCTCATCAAATAAAAAATACAATTTTTGTTTGCTCTTTTCTTCTTTTTTTTTTTGCAACAAAATATTGGTTTTTGTTCATTATTATTTGAGTTTTGAACAATAAATAAAAACTGTGATATTGTATTATTTCGTATTATATCGTTCATACTCATTTATTTACTATGTACTGATAGTTAGAAAAAGTAATTATAAAAAATTGTTAGTTTTTTACACTTTTAAAACTTATATGCTACATAAAATGTGTTCTAAGTAAAAAATACGGCCGCTGTAATAAAAAATCAGGGCTAGGTACAAAATAGTCATGCCAATCAGGTAAATCAAATAATATAGTTATTTAGGAAATACTTTTGGCTGTATAAATACAATATAAATTTAAATTATGTGGCGGAGGGCATTTTTGAAATATTTCATTATTTTAATACTGAGCTATTTATATTTACTTATCATTAAAGCCTAAGCAATGCATTTGTTGAGTATACTGTATGGTGTTTACAGTGCTAAGCCAGGTGCAGGCAGTGTACACTCATTTATTTCAATAAAAAAAAATAGAATGTTGTCGTGTTTGTACATTACAATAATATTGTTATGCCTATTTTATTTTGTAAATTTAGCTGAAAATCTCACATTCACTAAATTTTTGTACACGCTATTGTTCACGATAAAATTCTATTAATTTTTGGGCTGTGAATCGCTTAATTTCTACGAAACTCTTTACATACTTTAGTATTCACACAACAGCTTTCGAGAATTGCGTTGCTCCAAAATATTTGCACCCTAACATAGTTTGCAATAAAAACGCTTCTAGAATACTAGAAATTGTCTCACCCATCAAGTTATATACCCGAGTGTATCTTTTTTTTTTATATAAGATTCAACTTAATTTTAAAATGTTTTTGATGTTCCTGTTTGGTATGTCATGTCTTGTCATGTTCATACATGGTTAATTTTACTTCGTATTTTAATTTCAGGCACATCTGCTAATGTCTTCTTAGAAATAAAACTCAATGTTGTTTTTTTACTTTATCATTTTTTTAAACTCATCAACTATTGTACGGTTAAGTGTTTCCCATTCTTGTAATTGTGAATGATTTTAAATAAGTTTTACTGGGAACGCAGCCTCTTTTAGTTTACTAGTATACTAAACTCAGTATAGTTCGTCGTAACGTTTATTCGCAGCAAAAAAATCTGCATAATTCCATAATTAAATGAATGCGATATAACTTTTCGCTAACCATAAATTGTTCTTAGACAATATACAAAATTGTTGCCTAATTGCAGTAGCAATTTACAGAATAAGATTTATATTTTCTATTATTACTAACTATGATCCTACATAGTTAAAGTCTGGTCAATATTTTTTTTCGAATAACCGTTCATTCATTTTTTTTAAAAAATTTGTTCTCAATTCGATTTTGTTGCTTTTCTGACAGCATAGAAAAATTAAAGCTATTTAAATGGCTTTGCAAATTATACAAAATATCATCACAAATTCAAAATGGTTTTATAGATAAGATCACTTTTCAATTTTAAAAAATGCATGAAATATTCATTATTTAAACATAATTACCCAAAGCAACTTATATTTATTTTACCAATTCAGTTCTGCTGTAAACATGTAGACATTAATAATTATAGGTAGTATATTACTTGAATTTTCTTTGTTGAGGTTTAAGTATAAATAACGTATAATATAATCTGTAATGTTCGCTATACACATATACTATTATAATTACAACAACTGTACGAACAAGGGACGAATGTACTTGCATATCAATATTAACAGAAAACATTTATGATAAAACGTCATTGTGTAGTAAATTAATGTCGTTCACAATGTAAATTTTGATTTAGGATCCATTAGTTTCGGTAGCGGATAATAATTTCCGTACAGTGTACAATGAAGTATGTAAAAGTAAACCAAATAATATATTTTAATTATAATAGCACAGTTGTCAATGTGTGAAACCAGCGATAGCCTAGTGTATTTTGTACCAAATTATACAAACGCTAATGCAAATACATCGTTGCTACGTGACCCCTTTTTTAAGTATCATTACATCTAGTACTACTTTGTTTTGCAATGGTTATTTTCCAAACCCAATAGTGGGGACTATTTCAAAAAATATTATCGAATAATATCAAACAAAAACAACTCAGTGGAGAGGGAAGAGTCTAAAAATAGTATTACTAAATAAATGATTTACATTTAGTTTTTTTAATCACTATCAAAAAAACAAAAATAATATTATATATTGTTCGTTATTGTACGTTTTAACTAAACCGATTTAACGTCGCGGACACAAATCGACCTTAAATATTAAGAAACAAAGGAGCTTAACAACTATGTGCAGAATTTATGGCATCTTGTGTAACCCGCATACGATTACGGCGTTATACATTGTTCCTTAGTAGAACGACAGTGCTATTTCCAGAATCCCTGTGAAAGTTCTGAAATTTAGGTTACCAAAAGGGTAAGCGCGTGGTATCGTTTGCCTTCTTACATCTTGCATCACTACTAATTAATACATAATATTTAGAAGTATAGATGAAAGCTGCTTAAATACATAATAATATTATTATGTTTCTCTAATTTAAAATGCGTTACATATTTTTTTTTTTAAATCTGTAGTCAATTTGATCGAGGAAAACTCAAATGATCAAATAACACTATTATAAACACATTTATTGTCTACAGTTTCTCATAGAAGCGTTATTTGTCAATGATTTCATCAATATAAGCCATAATTATTTTCCTATTGGAACCCCCCCGTGATTTCGTCAACGTTTTATTTTTGTTGTAATATTAAATTTCAACCTGGTTTTTTCATATCGAATACCATTATATTGTTATGTAATAATATGACGGTTGGGCTCGAGCACTGCGGAATTTGTGAAAGAGCTGTGGGCCGTGCTGTTGGGACAAGGGAGGTAGGGAGTGATGGGGAGAGTAGGTTACAAAAAAAAAAAAAAAAGCTATAAAAAACTAAAAAACTGATTTAAAATTTTACTATCAAGCGCTCTGTTATACGATAGTGCGTAAGGCTAGCGCAGTGCACGGCGGTGTCGGTTACACGGTTGGCGAGCGTACGGGGAAGTAACTATACGGAGTGACAAAAGAATAAAAATGTAGATAAAAAAAAAAAAAACCCCTGCTAAAGTGCCTAAGTTGATGTTGGTCGTGTGTGAGTGCATACTTCGTACGGTGGCGCAGTCTAGCTCAGCTGTGACTTACCGCCGACGGTCGCGCACGAATCGCCGTCCAAGTACCGGCGGCAATACTGTTTATCCGGAGAGTAGGTTCGGTCGCGCGTTAACCCCAACCGTGTAAGTATAAGCAAGTAAGTACGATTTTTTTTCCCCCGTACAGCTAGTTAGTTTTGCCGCGAACCGCACCGTTGCCATCGCTTCGGCCGCATATACTCGTGCCGACTCCAAACCGTTTCGTCGGCTGCTGACCACACCGATTAAGTGTTGTCTTGTCGGCGAAATACTACATTCAGTTGAACAACGCTATTCGGCGGTCGCTTTGCAGACAAATTGAATTACTAACCTTAGTGCGTGAGTGCGTGTGATTTTGTGCTTTGTTTCTAATTTCGTTCGGTATAGATACCAGGGTCTTCCCCTGTAAGTTGGCCATAACTTGGATTCGAATCGTAGGTAAGCAGTCTTGTATAAAAAAAAAAAAAAAAAAAAAATAGTAATGACGTTTTTATTATTACTTTATAAATATATAGTCTCTATTTCTATAAATAAAACCACTTATAAATTATATATAATTATTATTTCAGTGCATTATATATTATGCACTAAATTCAGTATAACTAGAGTGCGTACATGTACTTGTAATTTATATGACTAGGCATAAAAATAATTATATCTTATTAGCTAGCAGGCACCGTTGGATCTTTCAATCTAAATAATCTATTTTTAACGAATCACGAAATGGTGGTGATCATTTTCTGTGCACCTCGATATTAACAATAATAGATAACAATATTAAGGAACGGAATCAAAATAACTACTACCCTTGAAAACCAGTTCCACCTGGCGGGTGGGAAGGTAGTCACTGATTTGAAAGTATTAATGAATTCAAAAAATTATAACAGTAATCTATTCTATAACGCAAACGCCATGGTAGTTTTAGATTAAAATTTAGGAAAAAAATAAAAAATCAACATGTATATGAAGATTTATTGTTTAGGTAAACGATAAAAACTGTTTTGATTATAAAGTAAGAATACAACGCAATTTTAGTAAAACGAATTTGAAATTAAAGTTTTATGAAAGTAATATTTTTCTGCCAACTAACGTCGGATTTGCATCAAACAATTTTTCATAGTTGTGATGATTTTATCCGCTAATAACCACCCGACCGGTCCCTACAATTGTATTTTTTTTTCTAATAATTTTTTTTAGATACATAAATTAAGAAAAAAACTGACATTCCTGCTCAAAATTTAGTCCAAAAATGTTTTTATTAAAAACACGTGTATCATATTTTGTTTTAAGTTTATTAAGGTGTTCATTTAGTTATAATACAGTATTTGGTATACACGATGTTCGATGTTATGATTATGTCTCAAAATAATGACAACTGACTCAAATGCCAATATAAATCACAGAGATTTGTTCACAAATTAAAATTTTTATCTTATAAGTATTAAAACGTCAAAGCTAAAAATGGGTTGTAAGGTAATTATCATACCATAAGAATGGTGAACTTATAAGTAAAATCAAATCACAACTAAACTGCGTGAGTTAAGTTCAAAATACCATACAATAATGGTATAATTATTAGATAATTAAAAGAAAATGTGATAAATCATTAACTATAGGCACACCATACTCATCTATGTCATGTTAATATAACAACCCATATTTTGCGAAATATACATAGACATTATAATGAAACTGAAACTATCCATCTATAACTTATTTACTAAATTTCTTAAGACAGAAGATAATTGTGTCTAAATCGATAGTCGATTATAATACTGAATAATACTCAATAATCTATTTTAAAAACCAAATTAAAAACAACCATGTCACGCAACTAATGTTTTTTTATAAATACTAACGTTAACATCCAAATTACTTTTTAAAAACTTTACTGATTTAAATATGCATAAATGATATATGAGTTCTATGAGATGTAAGCACCTGACTTCTAAAAAAATAGGGTTTTAACCCTTGATATTTTGTTTATTACTGAACCTCCTATAATTATATTAACTTCAGCTATAGATACAGCTAGATACGTTGTACGATATATTTATTGTATTTTGTATTTTTTGAGTATCCAGAATTATTTTGAAAATACAAAATGTGTCACACGTCTTTATTAAATAGAAAATATATTACAATATTATTTCAGTTTTATATTTAGTAAATATGTAACAAAAAGCGTGAAGTTTTGCTTCAAGGAAGCCAAAGCTCCGGGGACCGGACGTAATAATTCTGTTTTCTACTAAAATAATAATTGTAAAAACACCTCGTTGAATAGGCGATGTTGGTATTAAAAACATTTTTTTCGGTAAAATAAGTTCAAATTGCCAAACTTGAAAAATGCTTATGAGTGATGACTCCATTCTCTATTTCGAGTCTTTTTTTTCCTTATCATGATATTATCTCATCTGTGGGTTTGACCGACAAATCACAACATTATTGGAAAAACTGCTCGAAAGCATTTGATTTTGGTTACATATTAATACATTTTGAGTTACAGCGTTGGCCGTTGTATAACCAAATAGATATCTCGGGGTCGTCTAAAATAATATATCACACAGAAGATATTTTTTGTTACTGTAGAACATTTTCTAATTACCCATAAAAGCTTCCGAAAAGCTATGTTTAATGTTAGGTCAGTGCTTTTGTATTTTTTAAATTAAAGATAAGCTTACACAAAGGAAAAGCTTGCACCGGCCGTTAGTTCACTATCGACAATTGCGCTATCTTTCATCCGTGATAAACGCGTAGACCAGCATTTCTTAGTTAATATTGCACGGTCATGTTATAAATAACACGAATCAACTGGATAAGCAATTACACGGTACAGCGATTGAATCAAATTGACAATTACAATTATTGTTCAATTTAGCAACCCACGTATTACTATTAATAATAAATCAATAGCTCTACATTTTTATACATGTCTATATTCGCCAAGAAACGTGTAGATACCTACACAATTAATGACGGTCAAAGTGTTTCAGTATTAATTAATCACTACTACAGCTGCCCACACATCAATTGCAAAATATTCTATTTTAATATACGGCTTTTGGTAGAAAATATTTTAAGGATAACATTTATTTAAGGTTTTAAAAACAATCCATGTATAACTATTAATTAGTTTATAACACTTGAAGTATTATTAAAATGTTATCGCTGTTACAATGTTTGATTTCCTTTCTCAATAAAAGTGTTTCAAAAATATTGGCAAGTTTTTTTGAAATATTTTAGAAATGTATAACTGCTGTGTGGGATATCAACATGCGGCAATAGCTGTATAACTGCATTTACGATTATGTGGTCGTTGGTTAAAATATATAGTCATCGATAACAACGCAGTATACAAATAAACTTGTGGAAATAAATTATTATATTTAAGCCACCGCTTTATTTCGGATGGGTAATCATCCTGAATATTTAGCGGTGGTCCACACCATATTATATCCCTTACCGCACTTGTTCCCACCTATACACAAACAAATCAAAACCCCAAACAATCGAACAAAATAAAAAATATCGCCATGCTAATGGCTTCAGCTTCCGTAGCTTAATAAAAAAAAATGTATAATAGCTGTATTTCCTAATTATAAAAACATAACATTATTATATATTTCACGATGATGTTTAAATTATATGAAACATGTGTGATAGGATACAGCGTATTTTAAATTGTATAATACAGTTTTATAAAAATATTTCACCGGTAATAATAATAATGATGATCTTGTACATATAAAAATCGTATGAGTAAAAATACAGATGTATTTGCTAATCTGAAACATATCCTAATTAAATAAACTAAGGAAAAGGGTTTTTTATTAAAAAAAAAAATGTTTAGTTTCCTTTTTTCCGCGAGAATAAAATGAAAAGAGTGTAAATAACGTGCTAAAAAAAAGATTCGGTGATGAAAAGAAATGTAGAATGAGGGAAGCTTAGTTTGAAAAAAGCACAAAAGAAGAGGAAAAAACAAAGGCAAAGTTATTAACGAGATCTCGGTTTTGGTTAAAGAGAAACCAATTAGAAATGCCAACGTTTTTACATAATTTCATATTGGCACTACTTGGGAAGTAATTTATCTAGTAACTCATTTAAAAAAAAAAACAGTTCTTCGTCCAACTTTTTCATCGTTAACAAATATAAAATAAACTTTTTATAATCTATTTATCATTATGTTCGCATCGGTATTAATGTATTTTTTGAATAATGTATCAATAAATATGCAAATCCAAAACCATTATATTTTTTATCGTAATAATTACTTATGATTAATATATACGGTATAAAATATTCTATTTGTTAAAAAATATTATTGAGAGAATTTTCTTTTTAGGTTAAGTGACTTATAATCAAGTCATTTGTTCAAAGGATATCGTTGTTGTACATGACACGTAATTTTGAGGTTATTTATTATTTAATTTTATTCATTAAGTAACTGAACAAAAAAGAATATTTAATCGTTGAACCCTTTGACTTAACTATACTTGTTTGTGTTTCAATCATAATAATAGGTCATTAGTCATCAACAAATACCTTTTTTTCATCGATATTATGCGTTATCTCTGCATATAATTATTGTTATAAAAATGATATAAGATTTATTTTTGTAGAATATTTTTACACAGTTTAATTTTTATAATATAAACAATTTATTCGAGCAGTTTTTATTACATGATGGTAATTGTATTTGCAATTTATGAATGTGTGTTTAGCACACTCGAGAGTTGATTTAATCAGCACTTCAATTATTATAGAATGCTATGATACAGCTGTTATTGTATAAATAACTTTCCGACCTATATCTACCTAAATATGTGTACATAGTACATTTTCTAATATTGTTATGCTTGTTTTCATTTGCTTGAGAATGTCATTATTTACATATTACGGTAAACTTGGAAACTACTTAACTGTAATTGTCGCTCTTGTGACATTCAAGAACCTGTAAACATTAAACGAGAACCCAGGAATTGAAACTTTTTTTCTGTGTTGATAAAGTAAGACTCAATAAGTTTGAAACATATATAATGAAGATGCTAGTTCAGCGTCAAAGTAGAAATTGATGATTTGTGAGTTCAAGGCATGCGGAAATGATATCCAGAAATCAGTGACCTACTTATAACGGCGTAGGACTTTCTAAAGTAACAAAATATTGGTTAATCCGCTTGCCACCAGTGAGTTATTGTAGCTTATATGATTGGGGTACACGCCCGCGTGTGCATGCTAAAAAAATATTTTGTCGTCGATATTGGACATAATTATTTAAACATAATTTGATAACGAATAAAATATTATTGCGTTTTAAGATAGTATAGAAAACCAGAAAAAAGCCTTTAGTTATTTCTAAAAGAATGATACATTAAGTAAAATTTATTTTAGTAAATTCAAACGTACTTTTAAATAGTTTACTTTTCAATAGTATCATTTCA